AATTGAAGCATAAATAATCATACAAAGCTTGGCGACCGAGGAATTGGCAAAAATAGCAATGAATGCCAAATAAGTCAAAAACGTGCATACATATACAAATGGATATGCGTAATTTGTGGGAACATGCGTGTAAATATATGTAAACACATTTGTCAGTATGAAGTGTTGATGGCAGAGGGTAAAGGGCAACAGCAACAACGCCCACAAACAATAGAATTTGGCCACGCCACGCCACATATTGTCTACATAGTATGTAGTATGTATGTATGTATGTCCGTATGTATGCTCACAATTGACAAGACATAAATTAAAACAGAAAACCAGTATGTATTTTGTTATTACTACTCACATAATTTATATGTGCAGGCTTAATAAATTAATATGTGCAAAGAATAAACTTTGATGGATCTATGTTAAGTGAATTGTGATGTTAAAGATCAAAGACAATGAACTCTGCAAAAGTAATAGCAAAAACAACATGCCACATTAATTCAATGAAATTGAAAGGTAAACAAACTGTTGGGCAAATTTTTGATTCTAAAAACAATTATGACCGTTTTCAGTCTTCATATTTATTTATCTCATCAAGTATGGATTTGAATAGCTTACGTAATTGATGTGGAGATGTTCGACTGCAGATTAGTTGAGATTTACTAAACTTTAAACATTACTGACCACATACAAACAATGACGAAAAATATATTAAGTGTCCGCGATTTGTCCCAAGTTTACTTGTAAAACATTTTTTTCCCGAGAGTTTTCAATTACTCTAATCAATTTCAAATTAGCCAACAAGGGTTTATTTACTTTACAGTAGAGCTAAAATATCTGCGTTAAATGCAGGTAATATTAAAAATATTAATTTGCGACCGAAAACTTAATAAAATCCTATTGTATTTGAGTTTATAGAGTATTTCTGATAACGCCTTTAAAAACAGGAAACTCAAATGAAACTATCATTGACACCCCGGACCAAAACTTCAGTTTGAAGTTCGCTAACATACCTTTTCCTTTAATTTTTGATTAACATCTAATTTTACACAAAGCACCGAGTTTTGCAAATCGGTAAACCACGCAAAAAATAAATAATTTTCACAAAACGGAAGTTGGATCTTTCAAAGTAAAAGATAAGATTTAAATTGTTATTTAACTTTTTTAGCTTTTCTAAGATTTTCATTTTTGTACACGTTCAAAGCACCGCGCAACAGTTTAAAAACTATACAACCAATTGCGATAATTCTGTGCGGTGTGGTGACAATAATTACTTAGCCTACAAAACTAAGCGAAAATTTTGGAAAAATTATTAATTTTACAATTTAGTATTCTTTTAGCTCGACACATTTGACTCAACGATGCTCTAATTTCTTTAGACCGTCTTAAAAATATGTTTTCTGGAGGTCTTCAAAGTAGGTCTCCGTAGCGGTGATAATCTACTCATTGAAAACAAAAATAAGTCTCACAAGGCCAAAGCTGAAGAAAGAAGCAATCAATTTAGCAGTGACGACGGCAAAGGACCACCACACAGTTGCGCTTGTTGACCGGAGTCAGCAAACGCGGCATCTATTTCGACCAGGGTTAGGTGGTCTTTTGAAATAGCCGTTAAACCAATTTTAGACGGTATTCATCGAAGGAGAAGAGCTATCCGGCATTGCTCTTTTTCCAATACTCAATAATGAATACTCAAACATCAAAATGTTAGTATTAACCTTACATTTTAGGAGACCCACCCGCAAAATTTCAAAAAAATTTTTTTTTACATATTTGATTAGTCTATGCTTTTAAAAATAACATACTAAAATTTTAATGAATATTTCAAAGTTTTTTGAATACAGCTTTAGCCGCTGAGTACAATCAGCTCCATTAGTTTATCTTTAAACGCGTTTATCTCAAAACTATTTTTTAAATAGCTTATAGTTGTAACTCGAAGACAAACCTTTTGCTCGCTTTGATTTTTTCTGCCTTTGTATATGTTTCTCTATACAATGATCTTTTAGTTTTTGGATTGTATGAAAAATTTTAATTTGTTGGGCCGACCATCTCATTTTTGAACAAAACTCAACTTTTTTTTCAAAGTTTATTTTTTTTTTATTATTATATTTATTTTTAGCAAACCCTTGAAGTTTTCATCATTCACTTAATAACTTGCATAACTTATCAGCTGATGATCAACGCACTTGAAATCTCCTCAATCGCTAACGCATATCACAGAGTCTGCCGTTGTTGGAGAATTAGTCACAATTCCATTCAATATATGCAAATTACTAGCAGATAGGTTTTTATGTAAATATGTCTGAATATACCATATAACAATATGTCTAAGAACATAATACCATCGCTTCGACCTTTCGTTCCTTATGAATTACGGCGATGACGTTATACTCAGTTTGATTGGAATTGTTTTTTTGCGAGATTTTAATTTAAATTGAATAAAAAAAATTAAAAACAAAAATAGTAAAATAAATAAATATAATAAAAATAAATAAGTACTATACGTAAACTTGAAAAAACATAATAAAATTGCAAAACAGAAACGGCAAATCAAAGGAAATTTAAATAATTTGTATTGAGAAGAAACGTGATATCGTTGTAACAGACGGCGCAAAAGAGCAAAAAAAAAAAAAAAGTACAAACGTACATAAATAAAACAAATTGAAGCCAGTAATAAAGTAGCGCTGGCGCGATTTTATAAAATCAACAATAGCAACACCAGCCGACACTGGCGGCATTTCACACCTGGCGCAATTTTTTCCATTTTTTCTTAAAATACATACAGACAGATTTTTATATTTATTATACATGTATATATGTATATATATTTGTATATAATATTGGCTATGTTTTTGTCAGCAGCTGCAGCACACCGCAACTTCAAATCCGCAACACACGACCGCAACGGTCCCAGCCATGCTTAGCAACAAAAACATCGGCGCGTCATCAGCACATCAGCAGTCAAGGACGTTGAAGGCCATTCATCGACATTTTACATTTGTTATTGCGGTAGCTATTGGCGTTGTGATGATGAGCTTGTGCGCTTCTTAGGTGTTATTATTTTTGTTGTAAAACTTTTGTGTTCCCTCTTTACAAAAAACATTTTGTTTTTTGCTGCCAACCACATTCGTTTTCATTATTTCCACATATTCGTTGGCGAACAAGCATATATGTGTGTGTGTATATATATGCGTCGGGAGGTTTGTGCGGAAGTACACATCTAATTTTTCACACCTGACTTCGAAGGAGGCGTAACGTCTATTTTATGCTGGTTCCACAGCTTCGAGTCAGCCAACGCGAAAATGCTGATCGGTGTGTCTGGCTGCGAGTAGTTAAGTCATTAATTCTAAAGGAAGACTATTTTTCTTTTCTTCGGATAATTTACCAATCAACTGAACAAAAAGTAGTAATTATTTTGCTTAGAGTATTTTTATTAATTGTAAAGTTGTTTTCAAAAACAACTTGCTTACGAATCTTCACTCAAAAATTAACAGATTTTTAAACCTTTACGTCTTGTTGTGATCCAAATGGAGTAATTTCATTGTTATCAGATTCCAAAAAAAGAAGGAAATATCAGTTTGAAAAATTCTTTTTGTTACTCAATATCAATGTGTTTGATTACCAAATTAACATTGATAGTGTTGACTTAGTTGAAAAATGTTCATTTTTTAATTTTCTTACTTTTTCTTTTTTAATTGGTAACAGTATATTGCTACAACTTTTTTCCGTTTTACTTTTATTCAAACAAAATCGATCAATCCAAATTCAATTTGAAACTACCACAGTAAGTCGCGACTACCCATTTCTTGCAAAGAAATTTCATAGAAACTAATATATGAATCAAACCACGTCAAGTGGACCCTGAAAATGTCGCTAAAATGCCGGGTGTTGAATTTTAGAGCATAAAAATTTTTTTTAATTATTTTCTCATAAGCTACTGCAGTTGAATCGATAAAATTTTGTGAACTCAATCAATTTTACTGTGCTCTAAAATTCAACTTTTAATAACATTAATAAAGTTATGCATTTTGACGAAATATTTATATCAAGGGGTGTGCGTCTGGTTCTTCATCTGATGAAGTGCTAATTTTTAAAATCGGTGACTTAGCGAAATTTTCAGTGTCCACTTGACGCGGTTTGACTCACATACAAGCATTGCAAAAGGCTTAAGGGGCACGCCTAGTGCGACACCATTAAAACTGTAATTTTTTCATAATTTTAAAAAAAGTATATATCAAATGTTTTAAAATTTTAAGGGTATATTTTCACAAGAAAAATGTTTGAAGATTTTACGAGCTACACGCGTTGCTAAAAAATATTGTCCGTACAATGATTTACGACCGAAAAAAAATTAATAAAATGGCAGATCAAATAACTAATTATAGAACATGCAAAAAAAATTTTATAGTGATAGATCTGATTGAACTGGAGCTAAATTTGACACTAGGTGTGTCCTTAACCGGTCGTAGGAAAATCATAGAATCTTTAAGATAAATCTCTGGTCAGGTTATCTTGTAATTAAGGTACGATTGAACCGATCTATATTTTAGCTTTATTTCTAAAAATTCAATAAATATTCACCGTCTTCGAAATAGCATTCTGTTAACCAATATTTTGAGACCTTAGTAATGGTTTCTGGCTTAAGAGTTTGTGAATCGTTGATGGATTATTTGCATCACATCAGTTGAGTAATATTGAGGTCAACTAAACATTGCAAAGGTCTAATATGACGACTCGGTTAAGATGTAGAATTTTTGATTTTTGTTATGTGTAACTAACACCGTTTATTTTCAGATAGAGTTATTTAAAAAATGTGATTGATATCCGATAATTTTTGAATTAAATATAATATTTATATTTTTTTAGAAGCTACCGCTATAACGCTGTCGATACATAAGCCTCCGAAAGCGACATAAGACGCCGCTGAACAATTCTACCAATTTCATTCCAACGAAGATAACCCAATTAATGCTGTCTACATTCCCGCGCAAATAAATAATATAATACGATCATTGCTACAAAAATTAAAAAAATATATTAAATAATAAAGAGAAGACGTCATGCTTATAAATATTTAATGTTTCTGAGTTTTGGAAATATCTTTTGTCATATTAAAGAAACATGTTGCCTCGTATCGGAATAGATCATGAATACTAAATATATTCAAATATGTGGAAATTATAGTCGCTGCCGCACCGAAAAGCATCACCGACAGCGACAACGTCAAATCGCATTTCAGACGATGCCAATATTTTGAAATTTGTAACCAGCATTTATGGAATCTTAATCGCCAAGAAAGCGACACACCACGACGCTGTTGCTGTTCCAGCATCAATAGCTGCTCCATATCCGTATGCACGGGCTCGAAGTTCAAATCGAGTGGTATACTGCCATATGCCGACTCGGTTGCAACGCGCTGATGTATGCTTTTCATTTGGCTTATGCGTCTATATAGTAACGGCGGTAGTATAAAAACCAATGGTGCAATAATCGTGCCGCCTACGATATCCATGAGTACATCAAAACTGGGTACAAATTCGGCTATGAGCACTTCAAGACCGACAACGGTGGAACGGAGTGCAATGCGTTTCCATGAGAAAGCTTTAAAAATATGAATATGAATAATATTTAGATGAAGATTTTCAATAGATCAGTATTTAATACCTTCATTGATACGCAGATAATTTTCAATTTGTAAAAACATGGCAGAACTGCCGACAATAATTGAAAAACACAACTGCAATGCCATAAGTATAAGCAGAATATATAACGCCACACTCTTCGGCAATGTCTCCAAAAGATTATCCGCGATCATTGAACCGAATTTATATACCGCAATAATGGAACCGAAGATGGCTATGCTGCATGTTACTGAAACAATAATAAATAAAAATTAAATGAATATATAATTTTACTTAGTAGTTTAGGCCGTTATAAAAATGAAACTACAAAAACTTTTTAATAAAGTTAATTTTATTTAATAATACGTATATGTACTCGTGTATATTAAGTGAACGATATACAAAATTTTATTCGAAATGGTCTCCTTTCGCTGTCACACCAGCCCTCAAGCGATCCGGCATGCACAGTTTCTATTGGTATTGCCGACGCTGCTCGAATCAAAGACTTTTTGAGATTCACCAAAATTCATGGATTTTGTAGTTTGTTTATTAAACACTTTTTCAACAGCGAAAATGTTTTCATATGTAAAAACCGCGTGCCACTGAAGAAGCCGCTACCATCTGTTGAGCCTAATTTACTTCCAATGCCTTGTCAGAAGATAAATATTATAGTTGGCCAATGGTAGGCTTACATGTGGAGATCATCTCGAATAGGTCTCGACATTGATCTGGTCGATATATCCATTTCTCTTAACATAATTTTTTGATTTCTAAGAAAGTTTCTGCAAATGCGTTCGTAAATAGTTTTAATAGCTGAATTGGTTCGAAAAAAGCGAGGAGAACCATTTCTTTTCCTGTCATCAACTGTAAACGTTTGGGAAAGTCGATATATTAAGTTTTTTGAGAAGCTTATAAATTTCACTTGCGCTTTTTCCACACTTATGTTAAGTAATTACCGCAATACGATGTTCTTTAGCTCCCCACTCTATTGTTAATAAGCGAAAGCAAACACTGAACTAATTTTTATATAATATGTGAATAGGCACGCATACAAATTAATATAAAAAATAATTTTGTTCCCGCTTCGAATCATATCATGGACGATAATTATGGAAAGCGGCAATTTTTTTTCAACGCCAACCCATCTGAAATCTCTACACTGCGAGTTAGTCTTTTAAATTTGGAAATGAAAATGCGTAAAACCAAATCTGGAGAATACCGTGAATGAGTTAGCAGCCAAATCCACACAATTTGGCGTGACGGCTGAGATGTGTGCCGTTACGTTACCATGCCGTTTTTCCTAAAATTCGGCGTCAAATCGGACAAATAATTCAGTATAGTAAAGCTCTATGATCCATCACTTCAATCGGCGGTCGTGGGCGTGTATCAAGTTATGCTCAGTAAACGTTTTCGAGGCGTCTTGTAACTCATTAAAATCCACGCAACCACGTTGAAAGTCCTTGAACCAATTTTTGACGAAGAAGAAAAATGTATTGTCGTCAAACGCTCTTTGAGTCAACGTATAAAGAAGCCAAGCCCACTTTAATTTCACTGCGCAATTTTCCTTTCAAAACCAAGAAGTGCATTACTTACCGATATTTAGACAAAAGTGGAACCTAAAATACGTAAACAACCGCGATCTAAACAGAACTATGAGCCCGATTTTACCAGTGGCCGTCTACAAGAATGTGCTACACGTTAATAAATGTCTCCTGCAATTAAATTAATGTATAGCAAACTCACTTGTGATGCCACTGAAGGCGGCCCAGTAAACTTGAGATCTCTGCTGCATATCGATTTGCAAGGTAAGTAACATGGGGTGGATGTCAAACTGGAAAGCCAAAATGCTATAACCATTCAGCAAAGCCAATAACGATGGCAATTCTAAGAAGGAAAATATGCAAATAAACATAAAAAAGTTATATATATAATCAAATCTAGGTGATTAGATGTGAGTATACCTAAGCTGACACCTTCGAAGGGTTTGCCCAGCGGTGCGGATGTGAAAAGGCAAAACCACAAAAGAAGCACAATTACAACGAGTACAACAAGCGAGAAAATCGTCAGTCCCCTACAAACAGAAGCAATAACAAACATAGTTCATACATGTAGATATATGAATGTGAAGTATATAATACGAAGTTATTTAGCAGAACCGAGTATGTACGCCCGATGTTATGCCATCGAATATTGTGATTTGTTCACACATTATTGCTTCTTACCGCATATGTTTGGGACTGCGTAGCCACATCAGCGGACAGCAAAATACTCCTATTACAATAACCCAGTAGCAAAAGGAGAAGGAGAACTCATTATCCGTTATGCGCTTGCCGACAAGTTCCAGATTTTGCGCTGCTAACAGTAGACTTGGTATGGCCGTCGCAAATATACTTATATCGAGCAAGATTCGCACGAACAAGCTCAGGCAGGGTCCATAAGCTAAATCGGCAATAGCGGCATAGGGATATCTGTAAAAAAAATGTAATAATAAATGTAAATGTCCATTTAAAATAGGTGTTACTATGAGTTTATACAATTTTCAACATTGGAAATGATCTCCGCAGTCATTCAAAACTGTAAATTATATTAGAACATAAACAAAGTTACTATATAGTGTTGTCATCAGAGAGGATCGCCTGAAGAATTTGGTTCTATCGGAAGATCATCAGTTACAAATTTAATAGAAGGTCCGCCGTCCGACCTATTCTAACCAGGTCTAAATTGGACTAAAACTCCAATAATCTCTGGGGACTTTATTAACAGCTACTCTTTTTCAACTATTGGAAAGTTTATTTAGTTGATATAACTGTATTTTCTTATCTTTCCGGTTCCTGCCTTGAGGCTGAAATTTATGTCCCCCTTTCTAACAGTGGCCCTCACACATCAGTAAATGGTAAACTTGCGAAGAAATTTCTTGTCAAATTCATTATCAGAAATAATGATCGAAGGTCGAACCTTTAGTGAATGCATAAACTTGATCAAGCATCGATTAATCACGGCCGTTTTTATGTACCAATGCCACGTTTTCTTAACTACCCCATTCACTGTCTGTTATCAACTTGAACAGAGAGATCAATTCATTGCTCTGATCTCTTTGATAAGTATGTATATAGTTTATTTATAAATATCAAATTATATATATATATGTATATATATCAATATTAATCATCAATATCAATATATACGTACATATACTATATATGTATACATATACACACTATATACCTCTCTCATTTAGTTTTAGGTGTTAGAACAAAAATGTTATCAACATTTCCGAGATTATACAAATGATTTCGAGGTTTCCGGCAATAGAACAGATATTTCAGTTTGCGCGTTTTACTTAATTAGATAACATAATTCGATTACTTCTCATTCTAAAACTTCAATTCTTAACAACTTACCTTATTCAAAACTGAAGAGCTCTACTTCTACTTCTGCTACTCTCATTGACAAATATTTAGCATTCTTCGAGAAATGAGATCAATCAAATATGAGTACTGTACATTATCTGTCTCCTTTACTCGACGAAACTTTTTTAAGGTTATTACTAAGTTACTAAGCCTATTCATCTATCCCAAACTTAGCGAAGCATTAATACAAAAAAATCAAATCCGTGTTTTAGACATTTGGCTAAAACCGCTTAAATTTTTCTTGTTTTCAAACTCACCTGCTCTTTTGTGATATCGATGGATCGAAGGACTCAGCCATAATCCAGCACTGACTGAGTAAAAACGAAGTGTATATTTGTAGCACTATAACGGACAAGACAATAGGTATGCCAAGGACACCTAATTGCACCAGCAGTGCCGGGAGCGTTATTAATGGGAGCACACCGAATAAATCGACGACATAAAGGATTGCAATGAAGAGGGTTAAATTCTCTTTTTCCTCGATTTTGTGTAAATGTGGCAGGGCACTGAAGCGTGCACGTGACAAAAACGGCCGCTGATCATTATGGGACTGAATGGAAGGCGGCTCATTGGAGTGGTAGTATGCTCTCGACGGTCGCAATGCAGACTTCTGACGACGCTTGAAAAACATGGTGCACGACGGTATGTGTGTGTGTGTGTATATTGTAAACAAAAATACCGTTTATTTTGGAATTTGCATCTCAGCCAATAAAATTTCTTATCGTGAATACCCGATATGTGGCGATTCGGAGCGATGCAACTGCACAGTTTCAGTTAAGGCGAGCAACTGATGTATAGTTTGCATTAGAAAATTGCTCTCAGTCTACAAACTCTATGCAACGCATTACCGTTAAACATAAATACTTATCTATGTGTCCGTATACATACCAACAATTTGTTCATTTGTGGTGAATTCGCTCAACCCAGTGACGAGTCATTACTTAGTGGTGTGTGCTTAAAACTGTTGCAAGTAATTTGATCCTCCAGCAGTAGTGAGCGCAATTTAAAAGCCTGTCGGCTTTAAACCATGTTTTTATATACTTGTGCACATGTGCATATATGTACGAGTACATACATATGTATTTATTTGTACTACCACAAGATTACAGATTGCCATGGAACGGAACCAATGGAAAGGTCAATAACACTCTTAGAATTGTTATACTTTACATAGGTATATACTTGTATGTATTATATAGAGGGAATTAGTAGTAATTGGCGACATGCCACAGATTCTAATTGCCCGATTTTCAATAATGACCCACTAATGCAAAAAAAATTTGCTATTGCATCGTACACATATTCTCTCAATTTTGTTTTGATTGCGATTGGTAGCGAGCTTATCGTCTTGGTTAGAAAAATGGAAAATTTAACAATATCGGATACTGCTTAGAATGACCCCTCTCCTTCGATTGCGACCTTCAAGAACTGTTTCAACGTGATCATATGTCGGTTTTTGATGCCCCAGTGGCACCGAAAAAGACTACCACCGAGAATAATGTGACAAAAGTTCAGGATCTCTTGTTGTCAAACTGCTGTTCAAAGGTACCTTTGAACTTTAAAACAAAAGGTAAGGCAGAAAATATTGGCTAAGAGAAAGTTGTCGATGAGATGAGGACCGTCGACAAAATATATATCAACTGGTACACACCAGACACCATTTAACCGTCGAAACAGTGGACTTAACCCAGCGAAACAGCTTTGAAGAAGGAGAAGACTATACTTTCGGCCGAAAACAAGATGACCACCATTTCCTAGCCTTCACAAAGTGCGATTTAAATTAACTGGGTAAAACGATAACAGGGCTCACTTGTCTGCCGTCCCCATAGCCAATTTCGTAGCTACAGCCCGATCCAACGTTTTCTTGAGATTTGGGCATGTGCTATTTCCTTATGTTTTCAAACTTAAAAGAGTCACTCAACGAGCAGAAATTTGAGTCGAATAAGAAAGCTCTCGTGGTCATGGAAGCTTTTTATTACAGAACTCCACAAAATGTATTTTTCAGACGGGTTAAAGAATTTAGAGCTTTTCTGGGTGCAAGTGTATCAAGTTAAAAATACGGTTTCTGGAACTACATTACTACAACAACAACTACTAATATATTATTATAATTTGAATAATTTTCACTAATACTCGTACATACAAAAGTGTGTATGTACCTCTATATTGAGATGAAGCTATGGGGAGCACCTTATTGTCGCAAATATACATACATACTCGTACATACCGGGAAGCCCTTGATAAACCAATTCTATTCAATGCTCTGCCATTTGCCATTCTTTCCGCTAAAAGTTTGCAATGTCATTGCACTCTCACCCGATGACAAACGAGAAACACTCATAATCACATTACAGATTATTATTTTCTATTGTATCATTTTACTTTTGGTGACATTTCATAGTGAATAAAACATTGAAATGTTCTACTTTGTTGGCGACCTTCAGAAACTTTCGCCAACTTCTTCCGAAGTAAGACACTCTGCAGAAGTTTATGTATTTCCTAAATGGCTTAAAAACTAGGTTATCGCTTTACCTTTTCATTTTTATTTATTTGCGATATTTGTGTATATTACATACATACATCTAGTAGATATGTGTTTATATTTTGCAAATCTTTTATCGGCAAATGCGAAAAGCTCATAGCAGTATCGATTTATTGCTACCAAGTGGAACAAATCGCAAAATGCAAAGTCGTCCAACATTAAAAGGAGCAGAAAATCGATTTGTTACCACACTGACTGCTGTGCCCACACTTCACAGCCACAATAGCGTTTGAACATCGCTCAAAAGTAATGCGTTGTGCTATCATTGTTAAAAAGCAATTAAACAGCAATTGTTTAATTATTTGTTCTGGCAATTTTCACTGTGTTTAGATCTGCGCAGCGAAGCAGCCATCGACGATATGCTTTGCGCTAAATACCGGAGCGTCACAAAATTTTTTTGGAAATTTGGGTTTCGATTTTTTTTTTATATATTTCGCCAATGACTTGTTTTAGCTTAGCAAAGTATTTTATTTTACAAATTTTAAGCGTGTATTTTATGTTTTAATAAATACTCGTATATAGGATTGAAAATAATGCATTACAAATAATTTGATCAACATTTAAGGGGGTATTCTGGTTTAGAAATTTAAAAAATAAATCCATTTTTAATATTGTAGAATAACCCTTTAAGTATGTCTTCAAAAAGATTTTTTTGAGTTACAGCTCATTTTGTGATGCGCCGACAAAGTCGACTGGCAGCTCTGCGTGAGCTTTAAAGCAGTGCTTTTCTTAACTACTATTTTAGAAACGGTGTGCATGATACCTCAAGTTGTACTCAAGCGATTTACTTGAAATTTTATACAGCGCTTCTTTATACATTAACTGTCGCACTACGAGAGGATTTTTGGAAATTTTTATTTAACGGGAAATAACGAAACATATTTTTCAAACAGCCACCATTTTTAAAAAAAAATTTCAAAATACTCTCGTAGTGCTATAACTACATCCTTCGGCTTTAAGGATTACTCAACAATTTCCATTTCGGGTTACAGGAGTCCTGATAGCCTGCACACCAGGACACGCCATTTTTTCATCAGGCCCCACTTTGGCGGCCTGGAATATTTTAAATTTGTTTTTTTTTTTTTTTTTTTATAAATGATTTGTAATCTTTAAATATCAATAAAAAAAATGTATGGTAAAAATATTTCTTGTTTGTTTTTTTTATCGGGTGCGAAAAAGAGCCTAAAATTCGGGCTTCCAAACCAGAATACCCCCTTAAGTTTTAATTTTGTAATCCACAATACCGACAGATTAAAAATAAATTTTTAAATCCCAAAATCGGAAAAAAAATTAAAAATTTAAATTTTTAACCTAAACGGCGGATTGAAAAATAACAAAAAATGTTCATCGTAAGTTTACTTAAAAAAGTTTAATTAAAATATTTAAAAAAAAGTATGTTTTTGAATTTACATATTCTTGCGCTTGCGAACTTTCATAACACATTCAAACGATTTATATTTCATCAATTTTTAATTCCGATTTTGCAATTGAAAATTTAGTTTTGGAAATTCATATTAAATATCTTTAACTAAATTATTTAATTATTAAGTTCACAATCCTGCTCGTATATTTATACAAACATTATTTTATTGAGTTTAGCTCGAAATAGAAATAAATTTTCGGTATTGTGATATGCTGTGCACATTAAAATATAAACTATTTTATGCCTAGGAAAATAAGCGTTTTGAAACTCACAAAATGCTAAAATATCATTCTGCTTTGCACTAATAATATTAATATTTATATGTTTTACCACACCAATCTGCATTAGTAACAACAAAAGTTTCCAGACAAACGTAACACATACACATATTAAAAGTTTCGTTTCAGTTAAGCGTAAGCAAGTATAAATTATTTGAATATTTTTCACTTTCAGCAAGCACTCTAAATTTACAACATCCTTTTTACAGCCATGTTTGGTTGCATCAACATTCATATGTTTTCTAGGCGCTATTAGGAACTCTCCACTAATGAGTTTATACATTCACAGCATCTGTCTTTTTCTTTTTGGCATCGGACTGCAAGAAGCAGAAAGTAATAAGAAAAATATATATATTTTTTTAATTATTATATTCACCTCATCCCAGCGACTGCCAGCGTGCTGGATCTCCGTTGCAACTTTTGTACCCTTCTCGGACGTCACCACCTGCACAACTTGTCCTGGCCCATTACGACTTGGTAACAACTTCTTGGCAGAGGCAATATTCTCATTGTCACCACAACAAAAAACATTCATGCTTGATGGCTTACGATTATCTAAATTAAAACTATTCAGAAAATTTTTTATTGAATAATCGCTCTGATCCATATGCACAGCTTTTTCCGGCTCATTGGCGTCATCTTCGTCATCAGATGGCGAATTATTGACGGATGAGCTGGGATTAGTATTAACACGGTTTAAATAAAAGTTATTATATTTTTGTGGATATGTGGTTAAACGGTTTAGTCCAATCATATACTTACTAACCACACAAAGAGTAAAGTAGCATAAGTAAAACAAAGTAAATTAACAGTATTTTAGGTTATTATAAAAAGGCTTGTGATTATTTAAAAACTAGTATTCATAAAAAATTGTTATGAAAAGTGTAATTAATTTTTTGTTTGGACTATGTAAATAGAAGTAGTAAAGATCTATTTGACTACCTATACTTAGGGTTGCAAATCATGCATTAAAAAAATAGCTGAATTAAAATTGAAAACTTTATGTTATTTTATAATACCAAAAATTTTGATGAAAAATAATTTTCGAATTTTTAATCGCAAATACCGTATTGAAAGATTAAAAATAAATCCGCTTCCACGACAGTCTAACTCGGCTGTGACCTCGGCATCATTCCTCGGAGCTACTTTAGGCATGTTTGCTGCCGCTAACAACAACAACATCAATAATAAAGATTAAAAATAAATTTTAACCCCAAATACCGGATTGGAGAATTGAAATTATTTTCGAATTTACTTCTTTTCGCGCTTGCGTACATACGTGTTCAACCATTTCGTCGGATTTCGTTCCGTTCCATCGGATTTCGCCGGAATGTGATGTACATGCTTGTTCACACTTAAAATCGGTCAGGGGCCGCAGCGGCGCCGCTCGAACGCAAAGGGTTAACAATTTTCAATTTGTCAATTTTTAATGGCAATTTTGGAAAATTGAAAATTTCAATTTTCAATACCAATTTTTGAAAATTTATGGGAATTAAAAATTGATTTTCTAATTTTTAATCAAAAATTTTTAAATTAACATATTCGCAACCCTACCTATACTATATGTAACTAATTTTATTGATTTCGTCTTTATATACATACAACGTCATATATGTACTCGAAAGTAGGTACATTAAATGATGCATGGTTGTATACATTTGGATGCGCACAATGATTTTACTCATAAACTCTGATATATACATTGCATACAAGCATTTATATGTGCTGACAAGGCAAGGAAAGTAGTCAAAAATTAATTTTAAGACTTTGAGAACAGAACACATAATAACTCATTCAACTTCGATGCATTGTCGGCACATAGAAATGTAGTATGTATGCATGTATGTAAACATGTATGTATATATATTTATACGAATAATATGAAAACACTCAACATTTCATTAGCATGCGGTTACATTAGTAAATTATATTATTACAAATACTAATACAAACAAATTCTCAATCATTTTAAAGGCAACTCACTCTCCATTAATAGTTTCCACTTAATTGTGACAGGTTGTCGGATTGTTTCTGCAATTTTTAATCGTATGAAACTGCTTTTTAAACTTGGATTTTTATGAGGCGGAGTTAGGTTGTTAGAAAGAGCAATATTTACGGATGAATTATGTCACCTAAAGCTCAGTTGACCCAAGAAAAGTTAAAATAGACAAAACGCAATGTAATGTATTGAGTAGCTGTTCAAAATTCAAACCTCTATTAATAAATTTTAATTTTGTTGATGTAATAATGAATTATGATAAAGCTCTGAAGAGCGAAAGGGACCAGCTAATAAAATCACCGTACGTATCCTCAGGAATCATGCAACATGTTATATTAGCCAAAAAATGTATAAGTGAGATGTTTAAGGTTATCTGCGTATGTGCAGAGATAGCGAAACATAATTTTGAACGACTAATTAATTTTCGCCAAGGATTAGAAGCTTTTTTGCAAAAGTTTTAAACTTTTAAGATCGGAATTTCGTCAAAATGAATTCTATACTGAACAATATTCTAACGCTTTTATGTATATATCAATAAATATTATGAACTACTTGAATAATCAGGTAAATATACATGCAGAAAATAATTATAAATGAGCGTAACTTACGTTTTACAGTTAAATAGTCCTTGCATTTGAATATAGTCAATGACCCTGTCGTCGAGCAAGTATTTCACAGACTGATCGCGCGAAATAAGACGTCGGATCATTGTTGAACTAACTTCGTTCGGTACCCAATTCGTTATTAACGTAATATGTTTCTTTGTTAAGCAAAAAATATACATAACAATACATTTTTGTGACCATTACTGACAAATTTCGGATAATGCCTTACCTGATATTTTGTCAACATATCTGACTCGAAAATGAATTTTTCAGGATTAGCGCCGTAACGTGAAATTACCACCAAACCATGACTGCCAACAATATCTTCAATCTAAAAAAAAATATATAAACAAATAAATGAAATTGCATATCAAATCTCTGAAATATATTTGCGCTAACGCATACATCCTTATCTGCCCATAATCCAGGCACTGCAAATGATTCTAGTAAATCAGCTCCACACAGCAATTTCAATTGCACACTATCCTGCCGCTCACGCAAACCGGGAGGCAGCCAACCAGGTAGAGTGCCGTTCATGTCACTTTCCAGTGGTGAGTTAATATAGTTATTCATATAGTTTTGATGGTACTGTAGAACGGAGATAGTGCGTGACCATTCCGATTGTAGTATTTCCCAGTCTGAGGGCTTAAAAGTACAATTAATAAAAACTCGAAGCCTGTAAAGGTAGTATAACCAAAAATATATTACTTTTATCCATGTTGAGGATTGCAGCGCTAATTTCAACATAGCAAATCGATGTGTACCAGCAACGAGTCCTTTCTTCTGATAGGAATCGTGTGTGGGTGAAACGATACCGCCAATAACGTGATGTGTTCCTTGTGTTTTGAAATAATCACGTGCAATTTCTAATTATAAAGGAAAAATTAAATAAATATATATATTCACATACGTATATAATCAGAAATCGACTTATAGTATTTCACAATCTTACCAAACATACGAAAGTGCATTGGCGTCGGTGGACTAAAGGAGCCACAGGCTATCAGAACAATCCGAGGCAACATCCGCTGATTATTCATTTGCTCATCTTCAATTATTGTCGACATTGTAATTGTTTATATAATTCTTGTCTTGAACAATAAAGAAAGAAATGCACAAGTGTATTTTGAAAATACGGCTAGTTGACCTTCGAAGCAATGAACTAATGAAACCGTAGCAAAAAATAAAAGTCGTATAATGAAGGTGTGCATTGTTAAAGCCACTTTATTATATTATTATAAATAGTACTCACGTTTATTTAATTTAAAAATGTATTTTATACATACAATTAATATAAAACTGTATTAACTGGTGTAAGATTTTGCAATTTTATAAGAAAACTTAAAATCATATGTTTGTGTGTTTACTTTATTCAATATTTACGAAATATGTGTAAAGGGCAGAATAAAATAAATCTAGCGCTATCTGCTGGCCTAAGTTGTAAGAATAATAAAAAAAACGAATAACTACCAAGATGCCACCCCTTAAATTGCTAATTTCTTGACACGACGATAGTTTCATTTTTAATTATGTAAGATTATAGAATATCTAAAAACAAAATCTGAGTTTTTAACAATGATTTATTTATAAACTGGAATAAAAAATATTATAATAAAATGTTTGTTATTATTTTATCTAAGCAGTTATTTATAACTATTATTTAGACGTAGCAAAGTTATATTCTCTTTCGGTTTCTTGTAAATCGATAACTTTAACAAGTACTACCAACCTGACAACGTTCACTTACAACTGACAGCAAACTGACAGGTTAATTTTTTTGTATATTTGTAGTCAGCCGTAATTATTGCAATTGTCGTTCGTTGTGCAAATAGTTATAGTGATCATAAGCATTTAAAAATGAATTTATGAAAAGTTCTAGTGGCGAAAAACGTAGGAAACTCCGCCAAATGAGCATGGCATTGGTGACCGTGCAGCGATCGCCGAGTGTTACTGGTTCGCCGCCACAATGTGGCTCGGTGAGTTTGTGTGTCCCACAAAGGGAGCGACTCTAAAAAGATGGAAAACATTTTTCCACTCCCTTTTATTTGTTAAAATTCAGTGAATTCCGTAAAGAGCTATTGTTTAGTGATATAATATGTATTTTATTCAATTTTTTTTATATTTTCCATAAATATGTACAATACATAAGTGATGTGCAGTAACTAAAATAATTTTCTTCTGTATATATTGAAGGGGAGGAGACGTAATATCACATCTACTCCCTATTCAGGAGAAAGATATTACGATATTACCACCTCCCTAAATCCACTAGAAATGGAATACGTAAAAATAATAATAGTAAGAGGCAACTATGTGTATGGCAGCAGAAAAAATAAATAGCCTAGTGCTTTTATGTATGTTATTCCATCGTAGGTTTGTCGTTTTTTTTCTTTGCATGGTGCCTATGTTAGTTGCTTGCTGATGTTTCTTTTCTTACATATTTCCTCGTTGCCATTTTATTGTCGCTACAATCATACCGAAATGTGCAAAAAAAGAAAAGTGCGTTGCACAAATGCCAAATTATTTAATTTTTTTCATATGTGGCCAATAGTGTAGTAGTTGGCGATGACTTCGACGTAGTGATCATCCGTGCAAACATTAGTGTTTCTCCTTTAGTATATGTTTATATCGGCTTTTGTTTTGCTTTTATTTCTTTACATTTGTTTTGTATTTAGTATGTTTGAAATGCTGATCTAAGCTTGATAATGTATGCGGCCTGTTGCGATTTCTTGTTTTGAACACTTGATTATCAACAGAACATAAAAATTTGTAACTTTTATGTTGCTGGTACTTCCGGTCGATGTTTACTTAATTGAATTGAATGACAATTAAGGTATTAACTAAACCTTCAAAAAAATTAACTTACAATAAAAGTGTTATAATTAAGTATTTCGTAATTTCGCAAATTGTACACATATATGTACATATACTATGTATATTCTGCATGCATATAAACATTTGTGTATATTTAACATGATATTCGAAGAAAATATATTTTCAGCCCACAATTTTCTTGACCTTGTTCTGAACAGACGCAGACGCGCACATCAATGCTATTATGAATATATGTACATATGTATGTATGCCAGAAGTTTATATGTAAAATATGCATATACATACATATAAACATATATGCACATTTTAGATTGACAACAATTATTAGCATTGCTGTGAATATTTGGGTATATTCCATGAATGGTCTCTTTGTTTTTCCTCATATCAAATGTTTTGTTTGTATGTATATCTAATTGTCAGAATGTTTACGCGCTTTTATTTTACATTGCTAAATAAGTTTCCTTGTTTGGTTGCAATTATTTGGTTGTTATGGCATCACTGATTGTTATCAATGCTGGTAGTTTTAAGTCTTGCTTATCATAGGGGTTTGTTATGACTCACACGTTTTACTGCCCAACAATTCTAAGAAGATTATCTATTGATAGTGTTTTTAATTATACAAATAGTTAGAATATTAAAGTGCTTGAATGGAAAAAGTCGCATTTGATTATTAATAAGAGTATTGTGCAGCTTTTGATCCATGATACTTTTCACTTTTTACAAAAACTGTTTACTACAAATATTTTATAAATTGCTGTTATATTTACAGGAGGGAGAAACTGAAGATGATGAAGGCAATAGATCTGAAAAGAGGTACTACAAAAATTGTCATCATATATTCTATAGTAATATCTCTTTTCACATTTGTTATAGCGAATGTTTTTTTGCTGTTAAGGATACTGTATTGGGGCTTGCCCTTAAAGATGTTCCAGCAAAAACCAATGAACGTCGCCCAAGTACAGATTCGGCAAAATCTACGAATAGCACACAAAGTAATAATTCTGATATACAACAACACTTACAATCAATGATTGACCTACTTTACCCAGAGGAAACGTTGAAGATGGTAAAGTACTCAACTAGTACATATCGCAGTATTATAAATAAAAAAATATTTTTTTTTTCATATAGGCTGTCAAATTAGAATCCCAACGACCGAATCGCACAAGGTATCTAGTGATTGTATCACGTTGTTGTTACCGCTCCACAACCACCGATCGAAAAAATAGAATAATGCGACATAATTCGACTAAAGCGAACAATGCCATAGCATCGGCAAATATCGTTACTATGCGTCAGTCGTCAACGGATAGTATTAAACGAACGCCACAACAGCAGCAGTCACAAACAGAGTCAAGTAGTGGCGGTGAGGAGTCAACGGATGCTCAAGAGAAACATTACTCCGGCGGATCTCTATCTGCGAAAGCAACTCAACGGCAGTCCATTAAAAGTGATACAGAAAAAATCAGTGCCTCAGGCGATAGTAAAGTTTGCGAGGATGGTATCGAAGAATCCTGTCTACTGGGCATTGACTGTAATGAACGTACCACAATTGGACTTGTATTGCCTATACTTGCCGATACGACAATACATCTCGATGGCGATGGGTAAGGCTACAAAATGTATGCCTATAGTTTTTATATTAATTGAGTAATTTTTGTTTGACTAGTGGCTTTAGCGTTTCGGTTTATGGTAAAACACATATTTTTAAGCCTGTTTCTGTGCAAGCTATGTGGTAAGTTTATGCTTATAAGTATATAATGTAAAAATCAAGTTATCTTTAATTATTTAACTTTTCAAGGTCTGCATTACAAACATTACATAAAGTATCGCAAAAGGCTCGTGACAATAATTTCTATCCCCGTGGTCCATCGCACGATTGGACATCATTTTATGATAGCCATATCGAATCTGAACAGTCTTGCCTGAATGAGTGGAATGCAATGGACTCAATAGAAAGCCGACGCCCCCCTTCGCCAGATGCCATAAGAAACAAGTATACTAAGAAAAAAACTTTGCAAATTTATATAAGAGTACAGTATTAATTCTATGCTAATGTATTTATTATAGACCAACCGCAAAGGAGGAAACGGAAAGTGTTATAAAAATGAAGTTAAAAGAAATAATGATGTCAGTGGATTTAGATGAGGTTACCTCAAAATATATACGTGGTCGTCTTGAAGAACTACTTGATATGGATTTAGGCGAGTTCAAGTCCTTCATCGATGCAGAAATGCTAACCATACTGGGTCAAATGGATGCCCCAACAGAAATTTTCGATCATGTCTATCTTGGCTCGGAATGGAATGCCAGCAACTTGGAAGAGTTGCAAAAAAATGGGTATTTTATTTTGTTTTATTTTTATAGTTCATTATATTGTTTACATAAGTACACCCTGTTAAAATATATAATTTTGTTTTTTCAGTATACGCCATATACTTAATGTAACTCGCGAGATCGACAATTTCTTCCCAGGTGTATTTGATTACTTTAATGTAAGGGTATACGATGACGAAAAAACGAATTTGTTGAAACACTGGGACAATACATTTCGTTACATAACTCGTGCCAAGTCGGAAGGTTCCAAGGTACTGGTACACTGTAAAATGGGTGTCAGCCGCTCGGCATCGGTTGTAATCGCTTACGCCATGAAAGCATACAACTGGGAATTTAAGCATGCACTGCAACATGTAAAAGAACGTCGTAGCTGTATAAAGCCGAATAAGAATTTCCTTAATCAATTGGAAACTTACCGCGGCATGTTGGATGCAATGAAAAATAAAGAAAAACTACAGCGCAGTAAAAGTGAGACAAATTTGAAAAGCACAAAAGACGCACGTCTTCTGCCTGGCAGTGAGCCCACGCCACTCATACAAGCGCTAAATCAATCCAAATCGAAGTCAACCGGAGGTCATGACGATGTAAGCTGTGGTGATAACGTTGTGACATGTGCCGATGGAAACATTTTGAGTGGAAAAAGTGTTGGACGATCAAAAGTTTCAGCCGCCATTAATAGTGGCGGCACAAATGAAGCCAAACAACGTCGCCTGGTGCGCCGGTCCAGTAGCACATCACCGCAGGCGGTGCCACACGTGCCACATATGACAGTAGTAATTAAACAGCAGAGTCAATCGTTGGAAAATCTAACGCCGGAACGAAGTGTGGCAGAGGAGCCGAAGAATATGCGCTTTCCCGGAAGTAATGGCGAAAATTATAGTGTTACACAAAATCAAGTGCGCCACATACAAAAGAATGTACAACCGCCGCCACCTCCACCACCGCCGCCTCCAACAACCATTTCACAACATCAGTTACAACAAAAGAAACAGAAACAACAAATAGCATCTGTACGTACTCGTGTACAGGATCTGGAGACGCATACAAATACACGCAAGACGGCAGACGATCGTAGATCTCTTAACTTGCAATTTGGTCGGTCAGTATCGCACGATACTGGCACAATAGTAACACGTGTGGAAATGTTACCATGCTATGGCGGAGAAGGTGCAGTGCAAACTGAGCACAGTCCCGTTTGGACATCGTCTGCAAAACTCATTACACAGACGTCCAACCTGAAATCTGCAGCCGAGATTGGCGGTGGCGACGAGGCAGTTGTTCACAATAGATCGAGTATGGGTGCCGACACCACAAATGTATCGGATGATCTTACAAATAGTGCAATGGATGCATCTCCAATTGAGCCTAAAAAAGATCTGCAATTCAA